AGTGCAATTGAGCATTATCCAAATTGTTGGATGCTCAACGGGGGATGTATGCGTTCGATGTGGTCGCCAAATCTCCGGGGCTTAGGCCGAAACAATTCTTGTGTTGATTCTTCAATTTCTGCACTTTATATTTTCTATTCTTCAGTCTAATATTGTGTGTCCTAGCCTTACACTTGGGAACAAATGTATTTTATTTTTTTGCCAGAATTAATCAAATAAAACAAAATATATCCTCAAAACAAGAATGGAGTAGCTCATGGTCTAATATTCTTTTCTAAGACCTATTAAACATATCTTAAGCACGACCCGATCTTATTCTTAGTTCAAATTCATATGCAATGAAAGCATTCAATCAAGATCACTATTGATTGCACACACCATAACTATTATTCCCAACACATATTGTTCATGTGTCAAATATGCAACGTGCTAATCTATTGTGAGTCTTCTAACACTACAATAAGCAAATAATTGTCTAAATGGCGTTCAAGTATTCAAACAATAAAATAAGCATGCATAAGTGATCAAGAACACAAGAATTCACTAAAATACTTATATGTGAATTAAAAAAGGAAATCAATAGATTTAATCTTTCATCCAATACAAAAGAAGTTTAGTCTAGTGTTATGATATTCAAATTACACAAAAACATATGAAAAAACATCGCTCGAAGTAAAGAAATACATGAAGAGCTCAAAAACTTGATTTCTTGCGTGAAAATATTCAATCCGAGCCTTTAATCTTCAAATCTTGTTGTAGAATTTTTAGTTGCCATTTGCTAGCCTCTCTTCAATGATAAAATAATTGTTCTTCAAGTTTTGACACTCTTTTAGGTTATAAAAGGATATATAAAATATCATACCAAAACTTGCCAAGTCAAGAAAAGGAAACGTAATTTTTTTTCAAAGTTCTTCAGGCGCTTGTGTATAAGGGTGAATTTGGCCTCGATGGCTTGGGTGAGGGGTGAGGCGGTCTCCTGGTTTTATCTCTAACCAATTATTAGTATTTTTTTATCATAACTTCTTCTCCCGATATCCGATTGAGGCGATTCAAAGTACGTTGGAAATTTAACTCAAAAGGTTACAATTCTTTTAGAAATATCATTTTTTCAATTCAAACATTTACTATCAAAAATGGATTTCAATTTGA